TTTTTATATGCTTTCAGCAAAACAAAATGTATTACACAGGCTTTCTCTACCTCAAAAAGTCTTTGTCATGTGACTTCCTTCCATAAGGTGACGTGTAGTAGGCCAAGGACTGGCAGGTCAGTCCTTCCAAAAACTCCAGACCGTTGGCTGGGCAGCAAGAAGCCAGTAAAGTCTCTTTTTTACAGATAAGGTTTTATCTCTGCATAATGGTTCTGCTACTAGTCAAGGTTTATATTTATAAAATGATCTTCACTTTTATACCTGCTCAGTGCATCATAGATGTATAGTCTGTGGTTGGTTGAGTGGATTTTGTCAGCCTTGAGCTTGAGGCAGGAGCTGCCGGTCTTTCCTGTGCTCGCTAATTGAACTTGGGGACCCTGGTCATGGAATCATGAAACCTGTTAAGTGACTTTGATAGTCTAGGATGCTTAGGACAGACCTGCTTTACTTGTACTTGCATGTTTGTTGTAGGGGTTTTGCTGGTTTGTTTTGCATTTCTCTTTGGCTATGGATGCCAAGTCTTGGGTGGGTGAAATGACTTGTCTAATTAGGTGACACAGGGTCTGTGCTAATATTAAAGTTCAGGTTCCCAGGTATGTTGTGATTTCAAGACTGATCTTTTTGGTTTGTACCTTGTCTGGAAATAGACTACAGTGGCAGCAGTGGCTCTGGAGAGGCCTGTATGAGGGGGTTTTGGAGACCTAGTCCCAAGGGTGACTTGGATTCCATATGAGTCTTGGGATATGAGTCCAAGAGGAACAGAAGAGGATAGAAGGGGAGAAGGGAAGGTAAGCCATCAAGATTGAGGACGGAACCCTTGGCCTTGCCTCATTTGGAGGAAAAGTACTGAAGGGCAAAGCCATGCTTAAGGGGAGAAAAGCAGCAGTAGTGACAGTCCCCAGGCTGATAGGTGGGGCTAGGCTTGAAGGTGAGTGGTGATCTGAGAGGGCGAGTGCTTCCTCTCTCTATTACAGTTAATCTTTACCCCACAGAGTTTATCTAGCAATTAAAATGGTGTTTGTCTTTATGGCAGAAAGTATTAATCCACAGGGAAAGATTAACTTTCCAGGAGCCATCGTTTCCAGTCAAGAATCTTCTCAGAGGCAGGAGAGAGCTGGCCTTTCCTGTCTGTTGGCAAACCCCAGGTCACTGGAGCTGCTGCCCATTCCACCAGCCAGTTCTGGAGCAAACTCCTCCCTGGGGTTTGATGCTTGCTGTTGGGCCTGGGCTTCAGAGGAAGGAGAAAGGCCACTCCTTATTTATTGGGAACACCTCTCCCACCACATGCTACTCAGTGCCTTTCATGGGAAAGCTTTGTAGGGATTTTGTTTTAAGTCTATGGAAAAGTTTGTGGCTGTCAAGAAAAGTTTTCCTTCCTCATAGGAACTGTTATTCTTTGTAAACAGCATGGGGTCAAGGAACTGATTCCATTTACCTCCTTCTTTGGACTGCATGAAGATAAGTGGGAAACTTAACTTTTTTTTTTTGGTTTCTTTTGCTTTGAGACAAGGTCTCTCTAAGTAGCCTTGGCTGGCCTTGAATTTAGAGAGATCAGCCTGACTCTTCCTGGAATCTTGGAATTAAAGTGTGCACCACCACACCTGGCTCCAAGTTTATATTTGAAGACAAAGTTCTTTACCCATGCATGAAGATTTCTAAATTCTTTCAAAATGTAGCATCTGTAATTGTTCTGTTTTTTATATCTTTATATTCTTTATGTGCCAAAAAGAGTGTATTCTATTGGGAACGGAATCTGCCTGTTCCCTAGACAGAGAGGGTGTGAAGGAAGAGGTTAGAGGGGAATGCCATTAAAGGGTGACAACAACTAATGTTGAGGGTGAATGGCCTTTATGTCTCCTGCAGCTTATCTTCAGTGACTAGTGCCAGGTCATGTACATACATAATGTACATGTGCATCAATTTTCCTTTCTTCCTTTTTTGTACATTCATGAGTATTTCAGCCTTGGTTGCTTATGAAAACAATCCATAGTCACTGTTAAAAACTTGTAAAGCATAAAAGCTTAGATAGGAAAAACACAGCAAAACAAAAAACAATCAACCTCCTTCCCCACTATTTACAAACCCCATTATTTGCTTATATCACCAAACATGGTTAGTTTTCTCCCCCTTTTTGGTTCCCTTTTTATATTTGAAAATAAAATGGCACATATTTATAGAATATTTAAAACATAGGAAAATTGAATATATGAGTATATAGATGTGTTGATGTTAATTTCCACAAGAGATTATACTTTTTAAATAGAAGACCCTTTCTTAAAGTAGACTAGGCTGGGGAATAAAGCCAGGAAGGAGGTGTGGGAGTAGTAGGGGAGTGCTACTATTAATGTAGATAACTCCCAGTCCTGGCAAACAGCATGGTCACACGGAGAAACAGGAGAAAGGAAGTGACTCAGTTGTATTAATAGAGGGAGCTGAGATGAGACAGTGGGATGAGAAAGTGAATGGCATCCTATGGGTTTGGGAAGAGGGTGAGGGGAACCAATACTGAAGGCTTTAAGTCACCTAAACAAGGGGAGAAATTAGTCAAGTCAGATCTGGAACCTGTGACCAATTCAGTGTCCCCTGAGTTGTTGCATTTAGGCTGGGTGGGGGGGGGGTGTCCAACCTTTTGACACTGGGACAAGATGCGGTTTACAAACAAGTTGTCTCCACTCATAGCTTTTGTAAATGAGTAGTTTTCATTGTGTGAGAATTTGAGAAGAAAACCACTCAAATTCACAACCCCTGTACAGCAGACGTCCGGATACCAGCTCAGCTTTCCTGTTTCTCACCCACGTAAAGCTCCTCTTTTGTTGGAGTCTTGGAAGGCAGTGAATGACACAATTAGATCTGGGAGCAAAACTCTTTAAAGAATGATGGCTGGTTGTAGGCTTGGAAGGGTGTGCTGTGGTGGCTACCAGGACATGGTAGAAGTTGCAGGACCTCATGCTTTAGGGTAAGCCCTGTTTTATTTAGTCATTGGACTCAGACCTATCAGGATCAGGCAGAGTGTCCACATAGAAGGCTCTACGGCTTTCCAAAGGGATGGAAGCTGGAAAGCATTGTTGACAGTCTTTAGGGATACAGGTCTTAGCCACCACTTCATATGCCAGCACTGTACGCAGGGCACACTATGTCACACCACATTCACAAGCCATCACCTGCTTATTTAGAAGTGGGGAGAGTGGGGCTCAGCATCTGGGAATGTAGCATCCCAGTTGCTATGATAATCCTTCAACTTTACCCCTATATGGCTGATGGCAGTAGTGACCAGTCTCTATCTGCAAATCCAGTATGTTGATATATCTCCCTATCAGAGGTAGACTGGGTTCTGATGCTGGTTTTCAGATAGTATCAGTGTTTATGATGCTGGTATCTTAGTTTTATGGTACCAAAGCAGAAAATACTTATCTAGGATAAGCCTGCCTTGTGTGTGTGTGTGTGTGTGTGTGTGTGTGTGTCTGTGTGTGTCTGTGTGTGTGTGTCTGTGTGTGAGAGAGATAGACAGGAGAGGATTTGTTGCATGAGAACATGTGGTGGTCAGAGGATCACCTCAGGTGTTTTTTAGACTTTTATTTTGCTGTAGACTGGCTCTCGTTGTTGTTTGCTGCTGAGAGGGCCAATTTAGCCAGATTCCAGGCATTCTCCCATCTCTGCCTCCTGTGTTGCCTCCCAGGACTGTGATAAGAGACATGCAGTACCATGCCAGGCCTTGCTTGGGTTCTGGAGCTTGTGCTCAATGCTTTCACTCACTAAACATTCTTCTTAGCCCGAAAACCATAGGATTGGTCCTATAAGAATAATCATAGTGTTTTGCTTTTTTAGTTCTAATTTCTCTGCTTCATTTTAACATTTAGTTCATTTCTGTCAGTTACTTATTCTGAAGGCTTGTACGCTGGGGCTCTCTGAGTTTCCTCATGCCCTAAGGCTGAGTGAAGGATTTTATTCAAGTCTTGAAACAGTTCACTGCTGCATTTTTTTTGAAGACTGAGATGACATATGCTGCATTTGATATTCATGGATCAAACTTAGCCCTAGCTCCAATCCTCCCCATGCCCAGCACTTTAGTTTATTAATTATTTATTTTTAAAAAATCATACTCAATTCAAAGATCTTAGAAGAATACACATGTCTTTATTCTAGGCAATGGAAGAGTCCCCCATGTTAACACATCCCAGTCTTGGAAGAAGCATTTAACTGGGAGGAAAGAAAAACAAAACAAAACAAAACAAAAAAAACTAAGAGGAAGGAAGAAAGAAAAATAAAAGGAAATGCAACTCCACAGGAAGGAAATTTCTAGATCTAGCATAAGTCCAGAGAGATAGCTATTGTAGTTTCTTAACACTAAAGATAAGAACACCTTTGTTTTGCAGAATTCAGGTGTGTTTAACTGAAAGAACAGTCACATTCCTTTTGTATCTCAGAAAGTTTCTGAGTTTGAGAGGAAGAGGGAAACCTGGTTATAAGACCAGAACAAAGGGATAATATTCAGTTTAGAATGTCATAGTTTATTGTTTTTGATGGTTATAGAAAGATCTCTGATACCATTTATAAAGCAAAGTAGGGGTACTGCATGAATTTACACATCTTTACAATACACCCACCCACACACTAGAGGTCACTCACTAAAGGTTGAGCTTGGCCGAGTGGGGCAAATTTTGTAAAGGGGTAAGTATGATCTGTGATGTGGTTTGGGGGCAGAGTATGGGACCAGCTTTTGGAGGGCTGACACCCCCACCCCCAGTGGCATCTGTGAAGGGAGTGAGGAAGCCGAGGTGCTAATGTGTGTAGGTCCTTGAGTTAGGCTATGTGCAGTCCTTGCTGCGCCTCAACCAGAATGTAGGGCCAAATGGTCTAGAGAGTCCTTGGTAAAACGGAAACCAATTTGTCAGCCACTTGTAAGCTGACCCAAGGGGAAGAGCCAGTGTCCCTCATGTGTGGTTATGGTGATGTTGATGACAATACTGATGATTAAACAGTAATTGTCTTCCTTCCTTTAGCCACATAGAAAAAATCACCACATGGCAAGACCCCAGGAAGGCGATGAATCAACAACCCCTGAATCATGTGAACCTCCACCCCACCGTCACTTCCACATCGGTGCCACAAAGGTCCATGGCTGTGTCCCAGCCGAATCTTGGTAAGCCCCAACCCTTGACTCCTCCTTGAAGGAAGAGTCTGAATGAAAATGAGGACATGACCAATCCTTAGGTATGGTTGAGGAAAAGGTTTTATCGTAGGTATGAGCAGGAGCTCAGCCAGAGGCATCTGGAATTGTCCAGACTGAACTGGGAGAAAAGGGAGGGGGAGAGCCAGAGAGGAAGAGAGAGAAACAAGAGGAGAGAGGGCTTGCCTTGTGTGTCTCTTCCTGCATTGGAGTTCTTCTCTCTGCTACATCCCTTCCTTTTCTTGATATTTTTGCCACATCATCTGTGACATTGGTGCTATGTGCAGTCTCTTTATTTTCTTGGGTTCTTTGAAAAGTCTGGAACTCTTGTCTTCATTCAGACTAAGCAAGGAAAGAAAGGCATATATACTTAAACTGCCTTCTTGTAATTTGGTACTTGAAGACATAGGGGCCTGCCAGCAGGGGAGGTGCTGGGATAAACACTTCTTATAAATCCACAATCCCAGAGAGCAGCAGGATTCCCCACTGGATAGACAGGAAACTGTCTGAGTCCCATAGCTTGTAGACAACAGGGAGGCAGAACAACCTCAGTTGTTCTGGTTTTGTAGCTAGCACTTACAATGTGACCTGCAGGTGGCTTCTTCACATGCTCTGCACTTACAATGTTTCAGGGTGGCTTTCAGAAGGGAGAGTATTTTCTCCTCCCTGACTTTAAAAACACCATCGAAGATGAGCAGAACTGAATAAACAGTCTGTAGTCCTCCTGAAGGGGGAAACTAAGTGACTGGCTTAAGGATTTTTATAAAAGGTGCTCTTGTTCTCTGATGATGTTTTCCACTTCTCATTATATATCCTGGTGATGCTTTACCCACCAAACAGTTAATTTAGGGAGTAAAATAAATCCCTTCCTGCATCTTCAGGAATATAAACTGGATAAAAATGGAAGCATTGTTCCTGGGCTCCTTCCCATCCTGTGCTTTGCCGAAGTGAGTGTGAACTTAAGTAGACTCGGGTCTCCCAGGAACTCTATACCTGCGGGTCTAGAGCTTGTACACATGCATTACATCCCCAAAGCAGCTGGCCATAAAGGAAGATGGCTCTAATTCTTCTACCAGTAGTTATAAACCAAAGCTTCCCGAGAGTCCCAAATCAACAAAGTGTTCAAGAAGCAGGTGTCAGGGTGTAAAGAAACTAGAGGACAGCAGACTAGTTCCATCATTCACCTTTCATTGGGAATGTGTGTGTGCTCGTGTGTCTGGCTGTCTTTCTGAGTATCAAACCCAGGGCTTGTGCATGCTAAACATTTGCTCTGCTACTGTGGTATATCCTTGGCTATTCTTAACTTTAAAATCCGTTACAATTGAAAAAATGTCTGTCATGAGCATGTTGTTTTAAATTCCAGCACTAGGAGCTCTGGGATTTCTCAGTAGAACCTGAGCAGCATCCCTAGAACCCAGGTGACAAAGCTGGATGCTGAGGCCTACACTTGCAACCTCAGTGCTGGGAACATGAGCCATGCAGATACTGGCCTCCCAGCTCAGCTTACTTGGCCAGTTCTAGATTAGCAAGAGAATCCTTTGCAAAGAAAAAGTTGTCAATGCCTGAGTGTAGACAGAAGATTCTCTCTAGCCTGGTTCCACCTCCTTTAGTCCCAAATAAACACACAGGCTAGTATTAATTATAAACTGTTTGGCCTAGGTCTCAGGCTTCTTAACTCATTTAATTATTATTAACCCATTTCTATTCGTCTATGCATTTCCACATGGTGTTATCTTACTGGAGAATGCCTGGAAGTCTTACCTTCCCGGTAGCTACCTGGCATCTCTCTTTTGACTAATTCTCTGTGTTCGTCTTTCCAGAAGTCTGTTAGTCTGGTAGCCCTACTTATACTTCTTGCATGGCTACATCCTACCTGTCCATTGGCCAAAAGAGTTTATTCATCAATCAATAAAAGAAACATATATTCACAGCATCACCTGAGTAGCAACAGCCATGGTTGTGTGTGAACCCCTTTATACATTCACACAGAGGCTTGCACGTGCATGTGCATGTTGGCGTGCTCACGTGCATGTGCATGTGGGCACGCTCACGCGCATGCACACACACACACACGCACGCACACGCACTTGAATTAGACACATAAACAGAGAGACACACGGACACACATGTACAGACATATACAAACACAGAAACACACACAAAGATGCACAAGTGCACAGACATACACACACAGATGTGCACATGCATGTCAGAGAAGTGTTCAAAAACTACCTCCAGCCAGGTGGTGGTGTTGCACAATTCTAATCCCAGCACTTGGGAGGCAGAGGCAGGTAGATCTCTTTGAATTCAAGGCCAGACTAGTCTACAAAGTGAGTTCCAGGACAGCCAAGACTAGACAGATAAACCATGTCTTGACACCCTCCCACAAAGGCAACTTCCTCCACTTGCTATTTACTCAGTGCCACGCAGTGTTTTCAGTCCTGTGTGTGTGTCTGTGTGTCTGTCTGCAAATACTAGCATGTTATGACCATTGTTCTGCATCATTAGGAAAATCTTATGTATCCATATATGTATATAACTCTTTTTCTTTTGGATGGAGTTGTCTTGCACATTAATATGTCATGTTCAGTTTATTTAACTAGCTCCTACTGGTAGACATTTAGGTTATCGGCATGTTCCTGATACATTCAATATGAAACCAGTTGTGCTTGGCTGTGTTCTTTAATTAATTCTTCTTAGTTTAAAAAAAAAAAAAAAAATGTACAAGCTATGTTGATTTAATGGTGCTTGTCCCCCAAACCCAGAACCCACATACTGGACAGAGAACTAACTCATGTACCTTGTCTTCTGACCCGCCACATATGTATCATGACATGTACACATTATATACAGAATAAATAACTACAAAATTTAAAAAATGTAAAAGCAAGAAGTAGAATAATTAAAAAGAACATGAATGCTAAAAATTGGATAATGAAGGCACATGTGAATCAGTCTGTGTACATGTGCAGACAGTAAAAGCCCATTTACACTAGCAAAATTGTAATCTAAATATTCTAAAACATTTATCTGTGGCTGAATAAAACCCCCGACTTTGCAGATTTCTAGTTAAGCAAGGGTAGTGGCTTTCATTTATTTGTTTATGGTACTAGGGGTTGAACCCTGAGTCTGATGCTAGGGAAATGCTTAACCTCTGAGCCAACCTTCTTCTTTTTTTTTTAAATTAAATTTCAATTTCAGTTTTATTTTATGTATATGGATATGTTGCCTGAATGTATGTACAAGTACCACTTGTGTGCCTGGTACCTATGGAGACCTCAAGAGGATGTCAGATCCTCTGGAACTGGAGTTACAGACAGTTGTGAGTTGCCACATCGGTGCTGGGAATTGAACCCTGATCCTCTAGAAGAGCAGCCACTGATCTTAAGCACTGAATCATCTCTGCAGTTCATCCATTGTCTTGTGTACCCAACACAGAAGCATGATCCCAGAATTAAATCACTTACTCAGAACATTTTATTTTAAGTCCCAGTACTTCCTGTGGCTCATATTCTTTATTTATTATGAATTAAAAAGAAGGACATGCCCTCTTCCTCTCTCTTAATTATTAAATTTAGACCTCTGGCACTTGTCAGGGGAATGTAGCTGCCAGGTGAATTTAAGTAATATTACCCCTTAGTGGAAGGAAGGTTATTTAGGTACATGTGAAAGCAATGTCAAAATACAGATACTTGCATTAGTCACGGAGAATAGAATTAGCACCTTTTAAAGGTTAATCTTAAGTATATATAAGCCTGAATGGGTGTGGTTGTTTGTGAATATTGTATCAATAGTAGCTGGCACATAATTCAGTAACATACACCCCTATTCTTTTTAAAATGAACTTTTTATGTGTTTGCCTGCATGTTTTTATGTGTATCATGTATATATTTGGTACCTTTGGAGGCCAGAAGAGGGTGTCAAAATTAGATTGAAGCAGTGAGGAGCTGCCGTGTTTTCTGGAAGCCAAGCCCTGGTTTTCTAAAAGAGCAACAAGTACTCTTGTCCTCTTGGAACTCCGGATCCAGAGGAATCCAGTGCCTCTGGCCTACCTGCCCTCATTGGCACTTATCTACACCTATACCCTGACACATACACATAATTTAAAAAATGCCAAAGTGCAAAATCAAAGAGATTAAGATGTCTAGTTGTGTGAGTTTTTTTCCTGGATCTTCTGCTCCTTGTTATTCATGTCTGGTTTTGTTCCTATACCTTACAGTTTTTGTTACTGTGATTCCATAGTATAATTTGAAACCAAGTATTATGACAGCCCAGCATTGCTCTTTCTGCTTTGCCTGTTCAGGGTTCTTTCTGTTCCATGCATGTAGCTTTTAGGCTGTTAATTGTTTTTCTAGTCCTGTGAAGAATTCATTTGAAATTTTGAATCACTTAAGCTAATATAGCCATTTTTACAGTATTTTTCCATAATTGTTTTTCCATAAAGATAAGAAGTCTTTCCCTCATTTTCAGTCTCTTCCTCCCACTCCTTCCTAGTTTTGAGATAGGGTTTCTTTGCAGCTTTGGAGCCTATCCTGAACTCACACTGTACACTAGGCTGGCCTCGAACTCACAGAGATCTACCTGTCTCTGCCTCCCAAGTGCTGAGTGCTAGGATTAAAGATGTGCATCACCACCGACCAGCCATTTTCAATATTTTTAATGTTTTCATCATAGAAGTCGTTCACTCTCTTGGTGAAACTAGCACCTCCTAGAATATTAATTTTGAAGAGTTTTATTTTTTTAACTAACGTGGCAAGTTTATTATTGGCATATATAAAAAGCCACTGATTTTTGTATGTTTATTTTATATCCTGCTACTTTGATGAAAGTGTGTATTAAGAATTTTCTAGCCAGGCGTTGGTAGCGCATGCATTTAATCTCAGCACTTGGGAAGCAGAAGCAGATGCATCTCCATGAGTTTGAGGCCAGCCTAGTCTATAGAGCGAGTTCCAGGACAGGCTCCTAAACAATAC